GTGTGATTCGATCCCACTAACTTATGGTTTGCAAGGCAGTACCTTACGGCACCTTTCAGCACCTTTCAGCACCTAACGGCACCTTTCAGCACCCTAATCGGCACTAGGTGCTGCTTTTTCCCCCTTGTTGGTTTCTCAATTTCAACACTAACGATCAAGATGAATAGCTGATTAATTACAAAAAGTCTTTTAAGTTATTTTTGAAAGTGATCTGAAGATCGAAATAGTTCAGCATTGTCCGTTACAACAAAGACATATAGAATCAAACAAGTCAATCTGCTTTATTGGACGCTGATTGCTGTTTTTCTTTTGTTCGGCTTTTGTTTCTTTAATGTCAAACTACACCACATGATTATTATGAAATGACATTATTTTTCTTTATTATTGCAGGTCAAATTATTTACAACCTTATTGGACGATGTATTGTTATTGAAATTCATAAAGTTTAATATTTACTATTCTTCTATAATACAATGCATCATTATATCCCTTGTCATGTTTTCCGTCAATGGTTGTATTTCATGTGATACATCGTCCAGTTCATACTGAATCATCGAATAGTAATAACACTGGTATCCATTCACAATATTTCATGCCACGTTATCATTATTCAAAAGTAACATCATCTAATTCACCAACTGGATCTTTATTATTAGATGATAGAAATGGTTTCTTATCAAATGGAAATAATACAAATACTATGACAAGCACAAAATCATTTATACCGCTTGTTACAAATAAAATATTTCCAAAAATAAACAATAGCAATAGTACGAGTTTAAAAAGTGAATATATACAAATTCCTGTTATAAGAGAAGAAACAAAAGACAAACAACCATCAACAACTACAACTAATACGACATCTTCTATTGAAAGAACCACACCAATTACTTATTATGTTAGTGAAACAAATATTCCAACAAATAATTATTCTAAAACATTAACGAGTAAGTGTGTGACTTAAAATAAAACTGTTGTTGTGTTCTTATTTTTCATTTTAGATCCACTTCGTTCACAAAATTGGCGTACATCAAAATATTTCCAATACGACAATAATAATAACAACAATGTCAAAGATGAGAGCATTACGAAATTGACAGATGAAAATAAATTTCCATTAATCACAGCAAAACCACCATTAGCAACTAATCGTCGTTTGAATTTACCCGATGCATTCAATGGGACATTAAACGAAACTGATTCAACAACATCTCCGAATTCTAACGATAATCATTATCAAATTCCAGTATCAAATGTTCGAGTGAATATCCCCGTCACATTAGATCACAATTCATCAGCGAACAACTCGAATAATTCCTCAACCGATACTACTCATCTCGCATCATCGAAGCAAGTACCATTGCGCCCACCTAATATAACGATACCAGTCTCACCATTGATACCTAGTTCATCGATCTCACGTATATCAAGTGCGATATCAAAAACACCTAATTCACCTTTACTGACACGACAAAAAAACGATTCAGAACGAACAACATTATTTCCATGGATCGATACACCACCGGTTATTGTACCACGTCGTACCGAACGAGCAGAAGTAATGGCTCGTGAAGCAATTCAAGGTATAAATCGTTTCCAAAGTGGTCGTTCAAGTTTAGATAACACACGATCACCGGCATTATCGCGTCGTGTTATTATTAATCTAAAAAATAATCAATCTGTAGTACTTGATAGTCGTTTATCATCGGCTACTGCTCAAAATGCCAGAGCACATAATAGATCACCAGTAAATAAACAACAAAGATTTACACGATTACCGTCAGATTCTGAACAAAATGAGGATATAAAAACCGAGAATCAATCAACAACAACGAACAATTTATTTCACATACCTGTTTTACATGAAATTCAAATATCATCGTCTGACAATGAAATTCGACGACCATTTAGTGCCGCTCAAATGAATTATAAAAATGAATTTCGTTTAGAATTACCAGTAACAATATTAAATACTCAAGAAAATTCAACAAGTAATGGAGTTAACGATCCAAATGGTGGTGATGAAAATATTTTAATAAATGTTGATCAACGATTTCGTTCACCAAGACGATCATTGAATAATTGTTTCAATGATATTTGTTTACCTGGACCATCAACAACAACAACATCATCTTATCAATTAAAATCAATTTTAAAACGATCATCTTCAAGAGATGCTATATCACGAAAAAGTGTCAGTTTCATGACATAAAGATGCTTGTGTATATACATAATCGGATTTACGTTAAGTTAGTGCGAAAGTAGAAGGTGATATTTTTTTCTACATCCATTAAGTTTTTACATTATGTTTTATACATACATTTGACGATAAAATGTTTCTACATATTTATAAATGCTGTGCATTTAAAATATTTTTGCTATATAAGAAATCTTGCCTTTAATATTGTACTATTGGGACACACCAAAAGAAGAGAAGGGAGAGATATTTTTGAAAATTTGGAATAAATTCCGGAAATTTTTTTCCTTTTTTTCTACAATATGGAATTTAGTACATCTGAGTGAGAGTAAAGTAAGAGTAATAACTGATTTCAGAATAAATATTTCATAAAATCAGAATTAATTACTCTCAATTTTAGAGTAAACACTGTAAAGATGGAAGACTACTCCTCTTCGCCACGCCACGCCCGTGATACTATCTCGAAATATAGATAGCTAGATAATATTAAGCTCAGTTGCCTGAAATACGTTCATACGAATACGACTTAGTCAACTTTTTGAAATTTTCTTTTTCTTCCTTTTTATTTTAAGTTATATACCTGCACATGTCATGCATTGAATCATACACGTGTGTACATTTACTTAATGACAGCGTGCATAGGCATGCACTAGTTCCAATCTTAGGCTTGAAGGATTGATACCAAGCCTGACTGGTACCAATCCCGGCTTGGTACTAATCCTACCAATCTCCAGTCGGACTAGACTGGAGCATGCCTAAATGTGCACATGTTTTGCACAGAGAGAGAGAGAAAGTATATAGCGTTACATTTTTTTGCAATTCGGATTTTTAATTAGACATGAAAGAACAAGTTTTTCAAAACTGTTATCTGTGTTGGCAATGTTAGTGTAATAAAATATTGTTGTGAATTTTTTTAACAATATTTTGAGAAAAGAGAAGAAAATAAAGTAACATATTGAAGAAAATCTTAGGAAAGAAGTTTGAACTCAATTGTGTCATTAAATTTCTTGTTTTCAATGCATTTTTCCTCCGTATAGTTGGCAACAAAATGATACAATGCGATTGATATACTACTGTACGACGACGCTAATACCTTTTTTATAAGAATCATGATATGTGTCGTTCGATGCTCTACAACTGTTATTCGGTGAAGAGAAAGGAACTTAAAACAATTAATCGCTCAATAACCTTGAAGGATATTGAATTGAAAATGAGAATAGGGTCGGTAACTTAACAAAATACCTTTTTTGTTGAAGAAACGAAGCTAATGAATCTCAAATACTTTACGGGATCTTGAACGTAAAATTTTTTACTGTTACCCCTCTAGTTTTAGTTCATTGATTTAATAACTTACAATATCCTTCTTTTTACACAGTTTTATAAAAATTTTTGAACAATAGACTTATTTTTGAAAAGTAAGAACTACAAATACGAACAATAATTAATTTAAAAAGCAAAAAAATAAGAATAGCTTCCATAGTGTGAGACTACAATATGCAGTCATGATCTATGTCTATGTACAATTAATCACGGTATAAACATGCCTAAGAAAGAAATGATTTATTCATTAATCATGATTTGTTGCTAATTGCAATTTTGCTGTTATTGTTGTTGTTACACATTTCCTTTACAATAATACATCTTATGTGCCTCGTATGACGTTTTTAGACGAAAGGGAATATTACAAATTTTACAAAATGTATTCGAATTTTGTATTTTTAACGATGTATGTGATGAATTTGGCAACGAAGATTGTTTTATTGAATTTTTTTCACGTGGTGATAGTGCTCGTACCGTTGATATATGCTCGTTGTTTGTTTGCTTTTTAGATTGTTCACTTTTCGATGAGTTTTGGCGTGCTTGACAATGATCGAATTGATGTTGTTTCAGTGTTTCGTGACTAAAAAATTCCTTATTACAATATTGACAAACATATTTTCTTGTACTATGATAAGTTGGATCGTGTTTCATTTTTCTGACTAAAATAGATTCAAGTGTATGTTTTGTTAATTCGGAAACAGGAAGTTCACCAGTCGATGATAAAAGTGAATCAGGCATTTTTTCTGATAATTCAATAGACGATATTTGAGAAGATTTTCGTTTATTATCAATGTTTTTCTTGTTTAATTGAAATGACTCTGTTGTATTTTTCTGAACAATACATTCTGCTCGTACAAAAGATTTACGTATGTCATTGGAATGTCTAAACATAAACAGTTTACAGATTGATAATAACAAAATTTTTTATTCTTCTTACTCAGTTGTATTCAATATTTGTTGTGCTGTGTTGTTAAATTCGTTATTATTATCATCGATTTCCATTCCTACATTTATCGATGAATAAGATTCATCTGAATTATCATCATCCGAGCTGTTCTCTTGTGATTCTGTATTTATATTTGTGTGTTGTATTCTCATATGTCTAAGTAGATTCCATCTCGATGAAAAACGTGATAAACACTCCATACATTCTATTTCGGTTTCATTCATGTGCGTTCTTAAATGTACCATTAATATTTCATTTGTTTCAAACATTGCTGAACATATTAGACATTTTAGTAAGTCAATAGTTTTCAATTTTGTTGTTTCTCGAATAAAATTCGAATTTTGATGATTACTGTTACTACCACTACTATATGTTATAATATCTTCATCTGAACATTGTTCACCGTTAGCCAAATGATATTTAAAATGCATTCTCATACCACGAATTGTATTACCACGATAACGACATAAACGACACATGAATGGTGATAGCCGATGACCATTTGTACTCGTTTCTTCATTCTCTTTTAGTTTTGACATTGTTTGATCAATACCTTTTGAACATTCATGAGAAGATAATTCATACGTATTCAAGAATATTTTCGAACAATTTAAACATGTAAAACTTGTTGTCGTTGTTGATAATAAATTACGTTGCTTTGATGATGACTGCTCGGATGAAAATAAATGTGGAGTTGAGTCAGTTGACATCGTAGTCTTTTTTAATTCAGCACAATAACTAAATTGAAAGACAACAACACATAACAATTACATTCTAGATTCATATTTAGCGTCTATTCAATCAATGGTAAGAAATAGTAAAATTCATTCATGTATGCATTAGTCTCATTGTGAATCACGCTTCTACCATTTCATCTTAGTCTTTCTTCGATAACTCTATAAGTATAAGTACAATAGCATCGAAATTACTAATAACTTACTTTTCTTGATGTGCACGAAGATTTTTCAACGAACTGAATCTTATTGTACAAAATTCACATTCAAATTTTTGTAATACGGTCGCAGATGATGGTAATTGATTATTCGGTGATTGTGAATTAAGTATTCGAACGAGAGTTTTACGAGTTTTACAGGATAAATCTAATGGATTTGATGGTGATACGGATGAAGTTAATGATAATGACCTTGTCGGTGATTGTAAACGTTTTAGCTGTTTCTCATTTAATTTTTCCATATCTGTTAATGTGTTTGATATCGAAGACGTTTTCATCTGATTTGAATTACTTAAATCAAGTGGTTTATCATCTATTGAATCATGTGGTATTGATGGAGGAGAAGAGGAAGATGATTTTGTCTGATGTAACAGTTTACTACCAACTGGTACTGGAATGTAAATTAAATTACCCACTTGTATTGGACGATCAAACGGAATGTTTGGAGGAATTGGGGGTCGAAGAGGAAGTGATGACAATACATCATTGATGGTGGACTAAAAAGAAATATGTTAAATTTTTTTTTGAAGGAAATTGTCGACAAATACCTACTTTTGAATCGTATGTAGTCGATGTTGATGGTGGGGATTGTTGATGTGCTGATTTGATTTGATGTGGATGACTTTTTCTAATTGTATTAATTTGACAATAATGTAGTTTATGTTGGGTAAGATTTTCTGGTTTTAAAAATAGTATATCACATTCTTGACAGTATGTTTTATGATTATTTAATGTCATGTCATTATTACTATCGGTTGACTTTGTATTGGTAATAACATTTGGTTCGCTTGTACGATTTCGTTTATGCGCATAAGTAGTGGTCTCTTCGGGACTCTTACGTTTTAAAATTGCTCGATTTACTTTATCTGTTAGCTCACAATCAGGTGCATATTTTTTTTCGTTTGATTGATTTATATCATCATTATTCAAAGTTGTTCGTCTTGTACAATAGTGTAATCGATGTGCATCTAATGTTCCACGATTTGAATATCGAATACCACAATCTTCACAGGAGTAGACAAGAGCTTAAAATGAAAATACATTTCATTTAATTCAATACATTTTTATTATAAAAAAAAATGGATACATACGATAAAGCTTTTTTCCTGACACTTTATCTATCACTAATTCATGTTGTTCCTGTAGTGCATCGGTTATAACTCTTGTCTTTTTTGATTCACATTCAATCGATTCTTGTTTAACAATCACATCAACTAATGATTCTTGTTTAACAATCACATCAACTGATGATTCTTCACATGGTGAAATTAATTCAGTTTCATTACTAATATTGTCTAACAAACATGTACTAGTAAATACTGCATTTATTACTGTTCCAGCTTTAACTAAATCTTTTACTTTAACAAACAAATTTTTATCTAAAACAAAGTTTAAATATTCATACAACATACAATCTAAACATTTAATCAAAATTCACCCTCATAAAAAATATTTATGTTTGATTCATCGATATTTTTCGTACAACAATGAGATAGCCAGCCATTATTTTCTTCCAACAATTCGAATACATGAATAGTTCCTGTTTTGTCATAAATCTAAACATAAATAAGAAGATATTTGATGAAATATGTAATAATTTTACGTAGTTAATAAAATTGCAACTTTGAATTAAACACAAGTTCATTATTTCTCCGAAACTAACATCATACAAAAACATTATTTCAGATTATCTTTAACAGACTCAAAATATATGAAATTTTTTTCTTTTGCCAAGTAGTTCAAATTGCAATACGGAATAAGATACTGTGTTTTAGAGGTATGTAAGATAAGACATTGTCTATTAGCTTTTTCTTTGATCTAGCAATGAACGTTTGTTTATTATCAAAAGAGAATTTAAGTAAATTTGTTGCAGAAAAAACAGACTTGAGCTTTTTATTTATTTTGTTAACATAGTGTGATTATTTGTTTGAGTATACTATTACTAGTACTATAATCTCAAAGTGATCAACAAATTTGTAATGACTTTCATCATCATTTTGTAACATTATATTCAAATTTGAAGAGTTTTGAATGTTCTTTTATGAAATTATAGCAAACAAAATCTGATTAAAATATCATATAAGAGAGCAACAACTTATCAACATACATACTGATAAAATATTACCAGTTTATGTTTGCGTAATATTCTCTGTTTTTTCATTTTTGTACTGATCGCAGATCTATGCCAAAAAAAAAAATTTCCTACAGTTAAGATAACCATATACACATTTTTTGATTATGGTCTATAATCATATCACCAAAAGTATTTTCATTTGCTTTCTTATCATATTAATCTCTCAGATTTCTTTCTGTTTTTGTTGTATATATAATAGGCACATAGTTTTAAAAAAAAGCGATAAAAAAAAACAAACGTGCCAGTAGTATGCTTATCAGTAGTCTTTCAGTAATATAAAGATAAGAATAAAAAGAGCATTATAAGCAAGTATTTACAAAAAAAGAGAAATCTGTTATCAGAGAAGAGGTGGAAGAGAAAAAAAAGCAAGAGAAACATAGAGCATTCGAAAAGACTTAGTATAAATCAAAAATTCCAAATAATGTGACAAGTTTTATTAGTCTATAAATCGAACAGAAGGAGAAAAGGGACTTTGCTAATATTTTCAAGATAATGGAGCAGATAAAGCTAAAAAAAAACTAAATATCATAGAAAAGTCACAACAATCAAAAACACGCTATAGTTTCCGAGTGTAACTAGTGAGATTAACAATTTCCAAATAAAATTATAACACTTACCTCTATTATTGTATCATTTAGTGATGCATTTGATTCGTTTTTCTTTTCAGAACATTTAAATGGACCGAACAGATGATTTTTCTCAATGTCCATATTCGCCAAGATAATAAGAGAGTCGGTAGACTAAAACATAAAGTAAGATAAGATTATTTGCACGAAGGAAAGTTCACTACTTTTCATCAGTATTTATAAAAAATATCGTTTCATAAGGAAACCGTATAAAAAAATCGTGTAAATCTATACAAGATCTAGGAACATCGTGTGAATCTTATAAAATTTTACAATATCTTGAGACAATATTTCACAAAAATCTTTAGAATACAAAAGACAAATCTTTTGAAATCTTATAGAACTTTGTACTTTGTACTTTGTACAAAAGTTACAAAAACATATGAGATCCTGTAAAATCCCACATGAATGTATGATAATCTCAATTTAAGATTTTGTTAACCGGCTACTGTTTTTGATTTATTTTACTGTTACCTACCTCATCATATTTTAATTCTTCTGGTAATGTATATGTTTTGAACAACGAGTTTTCATTTGTTGTGATCTTGTCCGTAGTATGATCTATTTCATCTAGTTCAGTTTCCACTATCGTCTGCTTGTTTTCCAAAATAACTTCAGTGTCGATACGTCTGGTTTGATCATCATCGTTGATCGAAATTCTCTCTTCATTTTCCATCGTGTTTTCTTTTTCATCTATACCAGTGCCTTTTTTAATAAAAAAATACGTTAAATTATGATGTACATGAGTCAGTAAAAATATAGTACCTTTGATTGGTCTGGGATGTAATTGCTTTCGTCTCGACATGTTGTATTTCGATGATATTTGAATCATTTATACATTACTATCTAGAAAGTAAAAGACAATAGTAGGTGAAATCTTACTCAGTAGAATGTTGAACTAATTTTGTTTAATGTGTCGTACATTTCTATCGTATTATACAAGTCTTTAATTGTAATAAAAACTCTAGTAAAGAAACTTTGTTATGCGGTAAGATCAAGATGAAAAAGAAGACTTACCTTGTCCGAAATAGGTTCGACTAGGAGAGATAATATACTTAAGCAGATTTGTATGACGAGTAAAGAACAAGACAAATGTGAATATTAAAGACTGATCTAATCATATTCAACTTATTGTTGATTTCTTTCTT